GATTTTTCAGTGAAGCCACCACCTGTAACCCCGTATTATCTCTCCCCCAACCCACTCATTTCCAGCCCCGAAGATCAATCGATTTTTATAAACGGGGAGGGGCGAGAGCAAACTAAGGGGCTGGGAGAAACTGGCTGGAGGAGAGTGAACTGCCTAGCGGCTCCTTAAGACCGCGGCCAGAGGAAACGGCCTCCGGCAAGCAAGCAGAGCTGTAAAGCACTCAGCTCAGCAAGGCACATGGGAAAGTTGTTCACACCACCCCAGTACCTACCAGCCCGTATTTCTGTCTCCCTTGCTCTCCCCCTAAAATGGCGACTGGAGCCCGGAGAACATCGATAGATGCTCGAAGAGGCGGCGGCTAAATATTTCAATCACTCCAGCGCAATGTGCAGCTTTGCGCTACTGAGCATGCTCATGGAAGGTGAGCATGCTCACGAGCATCTGCTAATGAAGCCCCCTTTGCTGCCCGGATTAGAAAACGTGTTCCCGGACCCGCGTAACAAGGGGACAGGGAACAAACCGGAAAGGAGAGATGGAATCTGCACTGCTGCGAGACAGCCTGCCTGCCCCAAACAGGCACGCAGCGAAAAAGAGAGGGAAAAATCAGGCGTGGGGAGCAGGGGCTGGGACTCAGAGCCCCTGCCAGATAACCGGGATGGAGGGTGGGTCCTGGACCAGAGAAATTGGGGAGCTGTCTGTTGGGGTTGCAAAAATAGGCTACTGCATACCCTTTACGAAGCAATGTATCTCAGCAGGGCTAAATTCATAAAGGGACAGTGCCTCTCAATGCCTAGATGAGGCACCTCTTTCCTACTTGAAATGATGCATTGAGCAGCTAAAGAAGACAAACCCAAACACTTCACTTTTTCCCTCTAAAAATTAGCCTTCCCATATATGCTTTTAGTGTTTTAAAGTTTTTCCCCTCTAAAAATTAGCATTCCCATATATGCTTTTAGTGTTTTAAAGAATTCCTTGTTTATGTCTACATAAAGCCTCTGAGCAGTTAATTAATGTCTGATCTACTGTCCCAGCACTCTGAATTAAATTCCCTTCTTTGTGAACCACTGCCAATATTTGTTATTTACAAATATTTTAAAAAGTATTACTTTCTTAAACTTTATTTACATTCGTTAACACAGTGCAATGGCAACCATGTGCACAATTTATATTTTAACAGTAAACTAAATATAATAGCTGCTAGAAGTTTTAACAATCACATCGGTTCTTAGTATAAAATTGCATATATTTTTACTGTGATTTTACAGTTTTGAGGGGGAGGTTGCACAAACTTATTCTTTTGGATCAAATGACTAAGAGACTTATATGATAGGTTGGCATCAAAACTTTAGTTTCCCCTGCCTTTCTTAGATCGGCTTGAAACTGTGTGTCTCCTGGGCAGTAATTGGGGCAGTATTAAGCAGTTCACAAGATACCACCCCTCATCCTCCCCCATCTCTCTTTTATTAATATTCATGTAAGGATGTTTGATCATAGACAGAGATCATCACACCAGAATCTCAAATGCTTGACAGCTATCTCAACACAGTGCCTGGTACCCACTATCCTTTTCTTTAATTTTCCTGTACTACACACCACTCTTTGAAGTACTTAATGTCATACCACATGGATTATACTGAGCCTGTGTACAGAAAGGCTAACTGGAAATTACCTCTACTTCATCCCCACCCCACCCCACGACTAAAGTCTTGAATGGCTCATGGAGGACTATTATGATGACCAAACATAAGCCACAGCCTCATGGCAAATCTAACCCACCAGAGAAATCTGAAATAAAAGCAATAGGTGCAATTTGCTCCAATCTGACTCTGTCAAAAGGGAGCTTTGATTCCGTGGAAATGTAATCTGAGTATAGCAGTAGGTGTGGATTATTTTTTAAAGAAAAAAAAAATACACATGCGGAGAAGGTCCAGAGTAGAGTAACAAGAATGATGAAAGGTCTAGAGAGCATGAGCTATGAGGGAAGGCTGAAGGAATTGGGCTTGTTTAGTTTAGAAAAGAGAAGATTGAGGGGGAAGGAAGAAAGGTCCATGGAGGCTATAGGGGGCTGGAAGAATACTCCTTTCCCATGTACAAGCAAAAAAATCTTAAAGGCCTCCAAGTCCATCTAGAGAGGTATCAATCGCCCTCTTCTCCTCACCCTTAGAATCTGTAGCTCCCCCTCCTGGTGAGCTGGAAACTGCGGGTCCCAGCTCCCACCAGTGGTGTGTCTGGCCCTGTGTCTATATTAGTATCTATGATGGTTAGCCCCCACTGCCCAGATGTATTTCCCTGATGAGAGCCAAGCTCTAGAAGAGGTTGGTTGACATAAGATGGGTTGGAAGGTCTCACCTCATCTCCCTATTCCCTTCTCCCATAAGCTAGAAGATTATTATTTTAAAATGCTTATTTTTGTAGTCATTAAGCAGTGTTAATGGGGTGCTATTGTCAATTAGCTACAGCAAGGAAAGAAGGTTCCTGATAGTGAAGGATAAAACAGTAACAAGACATATCTGTCCTCATCCTTACTGTTGCACAAGATTCTGATAAAGTGTGCATATACTACCTAACACAAAACCATGTGTGTGCATGCGCTGATTCCAAGCATTCATTAAATAAAGTAAACCATACTAAACATTGAGACTAAGAAAAAATGAAATCTGCTTATTAAATCAGCTATTTGTTACTCATTTTAAAGTTAAGATTCTTTCTTCACTTAGAAACTGGAAAAATCTACTGTGTGACTTCTGGAAAACAAAGTTGTGGAACACAAGATCCTATTGGATGGAAACAACAGTTGGGCCACTCATCCCAAAAGTATTTAATGTCAAATTTTGATTACTTCTTAATTGTGGCAAGTTTTCTATTTTAAAAGTTTATGTTCCAAATATATTTCTATAAGCTAATAAAGACATCACTGATGTGAAAACTACACAAGAAATCTAAATTAGGCATAGCTTTGTTACATATTCCTAGTGAAGTCAGAGTATATGGTAAAGTAAACATGAAGAGTGGAATGTTAGATCACATTTACTCCAGTACATTAAAATAGGTCACAAGTATGGTACCCTAATGAAAGAAACTGAGTTCTTCTGTATGAATTCTGAATATTGCGTTTAATTAGTGAAAAATGAAAAACATGATAGAAACCAAAATAACACTGTAATAAGTAGGATAGAGTTAAATCTGCAAGCATCAAACAGTTTAAGGCAAGCAGATGAGGGTACCAACTATTATTTAAATATGTCCCCCAAAATATTTGTAAGTCATTAATACAGTTCTTGAAATAAAAAGTAACATTAATCAATCTAATTTTATGTACAGTTTTTGTAATTAGGAAATCATTTGATTAAATTGTATTGATTTTGCAGAGTACAAAAGCCTATTGCTGGAACCTTATCATATGCAAGAAGGAAAATTAAGATTGCATAATGTTAGAAACACAAATTGTATTAGAAATACACACCATACGTTTGAGCAGGAAAGTAAATAGAAAATTGTTCATTGCACAAGAACAGAAGTTATGGCCCAGTATCTAGACAGTTGCACATAGAACAGATGGAATAACTTGGATAAAGATCAGAATTGTGGTAATAATTCTACATCAACCAATACTTGAACTGCAGCAAATAGTGGTATATTTACCAGAAAGTTAAAAATCACAGCGGACATTTGTGAAATATTTTACAATTCTGAATTAATTGAAATTATATTTGGCACAATTTTTAGTGTCATTTTTTCCATTTATTATATTATATTTCAAAGGCACAGTGTGACTCCTGCAAGAGGTGGGCAGGTGCCCTCTGTGTTCCACTACAAACACCCTAAGCAGTAAAAAGAAAGAGTATATAAACTTTGTGCAATTATAGTTGTGATATTTACAAATTGGATATACTGTATAATTTTAAAATAGATTTTTTTTACAGTTATACAGTCAAAATACAAATGATTAAGTGTTCAATTTTAATGTACATTTAGATAAAGTCACAAAAATAATTCTGTTTCTAAAAATGCTGCCATGCAAAAGGCAGAAGTAAGCAATTCTGGTGACATATTATGTTGATTTGTAAACAATTCTGGTTACATATGATAGATGGGAGCACTCCCATCACAACTTTTTTCTGTGGACCAGAGAATGGGAAGAATTAGAGGTAGCACACTGTGATGGGAGTGCTCCCCTCAGTCATAATATGCTACTTTGGACGAGAAGGTGGAGAAGTATAGAGGGAGCTACAGTGCAATAACAGAATACCTAGATGGCAGTAAGTGGTATCAGCAGTAAATTGTACTATGAACAAGGGAGTACATGCCACACTGCAATAACAGAATACCTAGATGTCAGTAAGTGGCATCAGCAGTAAATTGTACTATGAACAAGGGAGTACATGCTGAACAACCAAGGGTCCACTATCACCTGCTGGATGTCTTAACCCATGGGCATCACAAAAGTGTGGGCATATACAGACCCCTAGCAGCATGGAAAGGCAGGCTCTAGTCCTGATCTGGAAGCACAGGGAATTCTAACAACAGAAGTTTAGTCCAGAAGAATACAACTAATTTATTTCCAGTGGTAGGAATCGTGGGATGTAATAATCAAGGCATGGTACGCTAAGGAATGATAAAGGAGCAGAGATCAATGGTGATTTCTGGTCAGACATTAGAAAGGGATTAAACAGCCTAGTAGGATCTGTAGTTGAAATTCAGAACTCCTTGAGTTCAATTCCTATTTTGATGGAGTGAGAGCAGCTTGATCTCAGGAGACTGGACAGGAGAACTGCTACGTTTTATTGGGTCTAGACTAGAAAGCCTAGGGATACTGCATGACATCGCCAATGTGCCACCCACACCCCAAGCCTTGCAGGAAGCCAGGCCTCTAAGATGACTGCAGAATTTAGTCGACAATAGGATGGCACTTTCAGACAAGGCACTTCAGGGGGCATCAGCTGAGGGCCTATCCCAAAAGAACAGCTCCCACCCCACCCCACAGGCGGTCCAACTCACCTCAGCCTCTAGAAAAGGCAGCCGCAGTGGCCGTGGCTCAGGAGGTAGGGGGCCCACGTTATTCAGGCCCCGGGGAAGCAGGCGTCTTTCACAGGCGGAGGGAAGGCGACGGCCTGACAGCCTCCTCACACCTGGCCTCGCCGCCATCGATCACTCGTCAGCGCCACACACCGAGACCACAATCACGCTTGTCCTCACGAGCGCGGGGGCAAGGGGAGCTGCCTTGGAGCACACGCCTCCAAAGGCCTCACGTTGTCCTCAGGCCGGATCGCACAATGGATCGAGGGCCCCTTGACAGCCCCGGTGCTAGGGGAGCCGCCTCACCGCTAAGTACAACGACACTGCCCAACGGCCCGCTGGCGTCGGGGCTCGAGCGCCCACGGCCCCGCCGGTGCGACACGATGGCCCCGCGTCCCCTTCGCGTTTGCGCTTCACAGCCCCCTGGGCCCCGTCACTGGCCGCACGTCACCGCTGGCGCGACACGCTGCCCAGGGACCCCCTGACGTCCCCGCGCGACGGCCACGGATCCCACGTCCCCGGGTGCGACACGCTCGTAAGGCAACAGCCGCCCCTCTCCCCAGAGCAGGGGGTCTAAGCACCGTCTAGCGCAGCCTTCCCCGTCTCCACCCTCAGCCGCGCCGCGCACGCTCTCTGCGCCGGGCCGTAATGGCCGGCGGGGAGCCACTGATTGGCTACGCTTCAACCGCGCCGCCCGCCGATTGGTTCCGAAGCGTGCCTCTGGTCGCCGAGCGAGCCTGTCCCCACGTCACGGGCACGGCTCGAGCGCAGGCGTGCCCACGGCCTGCCGCGCCTTGCAGTCCCCAGGGTGGGTTTAACGCGACGTGCGTGCTTTACGCATCAGTTGCCGCTCGCTTCTTCCGCTAGTTTCGTAGATGGACGCGCCCGTTACGGAGTTTACTTTACACAATCACCGCGTGCTCGGTCTTTACGCAAATCGCGTCTCTCCAGCCCAGCTCCTGTCCACGCAGTTACTAGCAGCGGATTTGGACTTGCGGTTTTCCCGCGCTAGGGTTTATTTTGGGGGAGGGTGGAAGTATGTCTTTTTAAAATGGTTGCTTCCAACTGACCCTCAGCGACAGAAGCGAGGCGACCATTTTGAAAAGAAGCTCCACCCCCGCGCGGGCGTGAGCTCGCAAGCACGTCGCTTCCACAAAGATTTTTCCCGCCCCTCAAGTTAGCCAATGGCCGCGGCCCTGGTCACGTGGGATGGGGAGGCCAATCATGTATCTGAATTTTAAAAATAGCAGATTGGAGTAACAGGCCGCTTTGTGTTCACGTGGCTGAGCGAGACCAGTCGGGGGCCTCCGCGGGCGGGCACCTTAAACAAAAAAAACCCCCAAATCGCTTCCACAAAGATTTTTCCCGCCCCTCAAGTTAGCCAATGGCCGCGGCCCTGGTCACGTGGGATGGGGAGGCCAATCATGTATCTGAATTTTAAAAATAGCAGATTGGAGTAACAGGCCGCTTTGTGTTCACGTGGCTGAGCGAGACCAGTCGGGGGCCTCCGCGGGCGGGCACCTTAAACAAAAAAAACCCCCAAATCTCCATCAGCCGATCGTTTAATTATCTGTTGTACGGGCTATTCACCGCTACTACGCGGTGTGTGCGGGGGGAGAGTTAAGTTAGTTACAGGCGGTAAGGTGCTGAGCAGAAGCCGGATCCCGCCCTGCCCAGGGGGTGACTGGAGACTACACGCTTCATCCGTGGTGCAGCAGCACTGCCAGGGGCGAGCAGCGTTTAGTGTCCGGCAACGCTGCGCGGCGGGGGAGGTGAGACTGGGGAGCAGAGGCGGGGCGCTGGTCGGGCCAATGGAGAGCGGCGGCGGTTTAAAGGGTATCGCTAGGAGGGCGGTTTGAATTCAAACTGCTCTGACGGCGGTGACGGTGAGGAGACCTCGGGCGCTGGGGATGGGGTCGCCTCGGGGGCTGTAGTGTAGGGACGGTGGGGAACGGGGCTTCCTGGGGGCTGT